TTTTTTTTTGTTCCCTGCACATATTTGCAAGCTTGTCTTTAACTTCTAATTAGTATTATATTAAAGTCATTATTATAGTCAGACCTGGACATTCCATTATCTGAAGAGTCCCTGGCCAGTGAATTTCTTTCTCACCAGCTTTTTGAAACATGGTTTTTAAATATTTTATTCAAAATTTTTAGTGTTGTTCAATGGTAGGGTCAATCTAAGTGCTTAGCCTGCCATACTGCTGGAAATAAAAGTCTAGCATATTTATTTAAAATTGATAAAATGATGAGAGGGAAAAGTAATGGAGGTTGGCCTTTGAGACCTAGAATTGCCACTCTGTGCTGAAGGCATTTTATGAAGGCCCCGAACAGTGCATGAGGTGCTTTGCTGAGAAGCCACTCACAGTGCGCTTGCCCACCAGCGTGGTGGGGATCCATCTACTCCGCCCCCACCCCCAGACGACGTTAGTGTCTTGCAGGATCCAGCCATCAATCTTTTCCTCCTATACAGTCTTACTACTGTCTATGGCTTCAACCATCACATTGATGCTGGTGACCCCCAAACCTATGTATCTAGCCCTGACCCAACTCCTGAGCACCAGGTCCCCCTTTATCCTTCCATTTTGAAGTGTTTACATCTCTATGTCCCACAGACACCTCAGTCTTCACATTTCCCAAGTAGAGCCAAGTGTCTTCCCTGCCAATCTTGTTCCTCTCCTAGTATTGCCAATCTGGCTAACCAGTTTCACCATGGCCCTCACCTCTGAAGTTAGAAGCCCTGGAGTCATCCCGGATACCTCTGCCAGCTCTGTGTGCCATGTCCAACTGTTACCTCACTCTGTCTCTTGACCCTATGCAGGTTCCTCCTTTCTCTGCACTGTCACGCCTCACGCAGCCCCTGCTGCTGGTCTGAACCATCACCTGCCTCTTCCCTGGGCTCCCTCCTTCTGGCCTCTCCCTGCTGGGGTCCAGTCCTAGCATTAATGCCAATCAGGATCTCATCCCAATCGTGCCACATGCTGTCTCACTTCCACCTTTCTCCCCAGCGCCTGTAAATGAAGCCCATATTCCTTAGATGATATGTAAGGTTCCTCACATCTACCCCATTTCTCTCCTTTGCCAACCATTTATACTCCTCTGAATGTGCCATCTCTTCTCATTGCATGTTTATAGTGCTGAGCAGGGGTTTTCAGATATAAGTGGGCATCAGAGTCATGTGCAAGCCTTGTTGGAACACAAAATACTGGACGTCACCCCCAGAGGTTTAAATTGGGTAAGTCAGAAATGGGGCCCAAGATCTGAATTTGTAACAAGTCCCAGGGGTGGCTGCTTCTGGCAACAAATATGAGAACCACCAGTGTGGTCTGGTAATGAGTGTGAGCCCAGGAGCACTTCACTCCCTGTATCATGTAACCTCTCCATGCCACAGTTTACTTTTCCATGAGAGAGGATTCAATGAGTTAATAGTCAGAAAGAACTAAACACAATGCCTGCTTCATCGTAAGTGCCCAGGAAATGTTAGCTGCCAGCATTATCTATTATTATTTATACTAGAGGACCGGTGCACAAAAATTTGTGCACCAGGGGAGGTCCCTCAGCCCGACCTGTGCCCTCTCACAGTCTGAGACCCCTTGGGGAATGACCACCTGCTGGCTTAGGCCTGCTTCCCAGGGGATTGGGCCTAAGATGGCAATCAGACATCCCTCTGGCAGCCCGGGAGCCCTCAGGGAATGTCCACTTGCCAGTGGGGAGCAGGCCTAAGCTGCAGTCGGACATCCTTAGCGCTGCTGAGGAGGCAGGAGAGGCTCCCACCACCACCGCTGTACTGGCAGCCATCAGCCTGGCTTGTGGCTGAGCAGAGCTCCCCCTGTGGGAGCGCACTGACCACCAGGGGGCAGTTCCTGCATTGAGTGTCTGCCCCCTGGTGGTTAGTGTGTGTCATAGTGACCAGTCATTCCCAGTCTTTCTGCTGTTAGGGTCAGTTTGCATATTACCCTTTCATTATATAGGATAGAGGCCTGGTGCATGGGTGGGGGCAGGCTGGTTTGCCCTGAAGGGTGTCCCGGATCAGGGTGAGGGTCTCCACTGGGGTGCCTGGCTACCCTGGGTGAGGGGCTGATGGCTGTTTGCAGCTGGTCACACCCCCTTCAGGGTGGGGGTCCCCACTGGGGTGCCTGGCCAGCCTGGGTGAGGGGCTGATGGCTGTTTTCAGGCTGGCCACACCCCCTTTAGGGTGGTGGGTCCCCACTGGGGTGCCTGGCCAGTCTGGCTGAGGGGCTGAGGGCCATTTTCAGGCTGGCCAAGCCCCCCTGGAGACAGAAGCTCCCAGCCACTCCTTTTTTACTTCTTTTTTTTTTCTTCTGGGATTTATTTACCTTCTATAATTGAAACTTTGTAGCCTTGAGAGGAGCTCAGAGCTGGCCAGGGCGGGCAGGAGGGAAGCTTGGCTTCCTCCATCACCCGGGGCAACCCAAGCCTCCTGCTCGCTCCAGCTCCATGGCCATGGCCAGCCGAAAGCAGGTATCTGGGGTTTATTTACCTTCTATAATTGAAACTTTGCTGCTTTGGAGCTCAGAGCCAGCCACGGCAGGCAGGAAGCTTGGCTTCCTCCATCACTGGGGCAACCAAGCCTCCTGCTTGCTCCAGCTCTGTGGCTGCCAGCCGCCATCTTGGTTGGGTTAATTTGCATATAGTTGCTCTGATTGGCTGGTGGGCATGGCTTAAGGTGTAGCGAAGGTACGGTCGATTTGCATGTTTATCTTTTATTAGTGTAGATCATAATTCACATTTTTGGTGATGGATGTCTGCCCCCTCACTCTTTTCTGCTCACAATCTTCTTTCTTTCAAGAGCCAGTTTCTTTGCTGAGGTGCTAAAACACTCTTCTTTGCCACCTCATTTGGCCGCCCTGCTCTCCTCAGCCTCTCCTCCTGCTCACACACTCCAGTGTGCGCACCCTGCCCAAGGCGCTCCCCTCCTTCCCCGGAGTGATCTCCTCCACGGTGCACCTCCCTGGCTGTCTGGCACATCACAGGGATTCCAAAATGCTAATTAACTAACTGACTGGGCTTCTATTATAGAATTGAATATTGTATTGAAAATGTGGTAAAATGTGCTCAATCTGGGCAAAGAACTGAATGCTAAGAAAAGGTAGAGGGAAAAGAATTATGTGGACGTTTGGGAATGTTGTATTCAGGATAGTGGGATTATGCTTCAGGAACATGGGCCTGTCTTCTTGGGAACAATCTGAGAGCACTTTACTTAGTATAATCTTAACTACAGGTAGCAACTCCCCCACACAGTGGACATAAGTGATGAGGATACTCTTTACTATTATAATAGGACTAGAGGCCTGGTGCATGTAATTCATGCACTGGGGGTGGGGGGAATCCCTTCAGCCTGGCCTGTGCCCTCTTGCAGTCCGGAAGCCCTTGGGGAATGTTTGACTGATGGCTTAGGCCAGTGGTCGGCAAACCGTGGCTCGTAAGCCACATGCGGCTCTTTGGCCCCTTGAGTGTGGCTCTTCCACAAAATACCACATGCGGGCGCGCAAGTACAGTGCATTTGAAACTTCGTAGCCCATGTGCAGAAATAGGTTTTCGGCCTGGGTGAGTCTATTTTGAAGAAGTGGCATTAGAAGAAGGGGGGTGTCGGTCAGTCGGGCGATGGGAGACGCGGCGCAGGTGGGCCACGGGATACGCAGCATGGGGGAGGTGCGTGCGATTCATGCATGAGTTGAGGATGGGAGAGTTGGAAGGGGTCGACCTCAGCGAACATACCTCAATCAGATTGAGGACGTTTTTAGCAAAGGCCAGCTTAGGAGTACCCTAATTAAGTTAATAACAATGTACCTACCTATATAGTTTAAGTTTAAAAAATTTGGCTCTCAAAAGAAATTTCAATCGTTGTACTACTGATATTTGGCTCTGTTGACTGCTGAGTTTGCCGACCAGTGGCTTAGGCCCACTCCTGCCACCCCCACTGTGCTCGTCAGCTGTGAGCCCAGCTTCTGGCTGAGCAGTGCTCCTCCTTTGGGAGTGCAGTGACCACCAGGGGGCAGCTCCTGCATTGAGCGTCTGCCCCCTGGTGGTCAGTGTGCATCATAGCATAGTGACAGGTCCTTCTGCTTTTAGGTTGATTTGTATATTAGCCTTTTATTATATAGGAGGATGCTGGAGAAAGCACAGCACCAGGGTTGTTTATCCAGTGGGTCAATGATATCATCAAAGACCCAGGTGTTTTTTTTGTTTTTTGTTTTTTAAATATATTTTATTGATTTTTTACAGAGAGGAAAGGAGAGAGATAGAGAGTTAGAAACATCGATGAGAGAGAAACATTGATCAGCTGCCTCCTGCACATCTCCTACTGGGGATGTGCCCGCAACCCAGGTACATGCCCTTGACCGGAATCGAACCTGGGACCTTTCAGTCCGCAGGCCGACGCTCTATCCACTGAGCCAAACCGGTTTTGGCTGTTGTTTTTTTTTAATCTTTCTCTGCTCTTTACTTATGCTCCCCTCTCACGGTTACACTGTGGCTGCAGAAGGTCACAATATGGCTACAGAAAATCAGGTGTGGCTGAACAAGGAGAAGTTCTTGCATCTTCCTTTTTAAGAGCAAGGAAAACATTTCCAAGAAACTTCCCCTCCCCCACCAGCAGGCCCCTCTTCATGTCTCAGTGACTAGAGTTGGGTCAGAGCCCACCTCTAACCTACTCCCTTGCAAAGGGCCTGCATTTGCTTTGACTGGATGAGGCCTCTGAGCTGGACATATGGTGGCACCCTGAGTGGTGAGCACATTGGAGTTCTGTTAGAAAGGAGGAAGGGAGAAATGGATGTTGTGGAGGTGAGCAACAGTGTCAGCCACAAAACCTGACCCACACCCCAGGGGCAAGTTTATTTGAGCAGTCACAGGAATGAAAATTAAATGATTTTAGGAGTCTTTTCTACCTTGAGAATCTAAAAGGAATTACTTGAAGTGAAAATGAGAAGACTTTTCCTCTGTCTGTCCCTGCAGGTCCTGCCCTGACCACAGCTGCCCTTCAGGACACCAGCTCTGAGCCACAGCTGGGCCATCAGCTGCTGTCAAGGGTGGGGCTCTGGCGACTTGTGCTGTTCCTCATGAGTCCAGCCTGGGGCTCCACCTGGCATCCAGCACGGCCACGTCTCAGGTGAGAGTTACAGAAGGAACCCTGGGGCAGCTGGATCCCAGAACCTGGGGTTCAGAGGGAGAACGAGAACAGGAGAGTTCAGTTCAGTTCAGGAGGGGTGCCCCCTCCACACCCCCAGAGGTGTAACTGGACAGGAGGCTTGTTTATGGCTCCTAGAGGCAGGTATAGTGGGAGCTGCCCCCTGCAAGAAGGTTGGGCCAAATAAGCAAATATTCTGAAGGACACCGAATACAGTTTCTCGGTAGGCATCTCTGGTTTTCTGTAGCCCTATTAAAAACTGTTAGTCAATGTACCAAAGTGGACTCCCAAACCACATGGATCGTGTGTTTTCTGCTTATCAGGTTCGTGGAGAGCTGTGGAATAGGCTCGTCGTCCCTCCAGGGTCTGGCTGTCTGAACAGAAAAAGAAAGCTGGTAAGAAACTGATGAGAAACTTCCACCAAAGGTAGTGGATAATGATCATGGACAGCAGTAGGTATCCACAGTGGCCAAGAAGTTTGGGTTCCATGTGAGGAGCATTGGTGACAGCTTCTAGAAATTATCTACTAGCCTGCCATTCTAAAATTTGCCCAGCTCTTCCGGACATACATCAGGGGCATTAAGGTGAAATATGTGGGAGCCTGAGTGTGAGGCAGTATAGTGGGATTTAGTTGTGAGTGACTTCTAGGGTGGGGCAGGGGGCGAAGTCACACTAATTTGGCCATTATATGTGTTATTATATTTTATGTGCCTATCTTAAATCTTCAATCAAATTGTCAACTCCTTGAGGACAGTAATACTTCATTTCCCTTATATTCTTCACAATTATTTATTGGTTGATTTTTTGGTATATACTTAAACGATAAAATTTTATCAATCAAGGGCCTAGAATTTTCACTCATTTGGGCAGAGTTGTCATCAGTATCTATTGAGCACCTCCTGAGATGAACAGCGTCAGAGACCTTAGCCACTTGAACTGCCCAGAGTGTGTTCATTTCTGAGGGCTGTCAAAACAAAATACTACAAGCAGGGTGATTAAAAACAACTGAATGTATAGTCTCACAGATCTGGAGGAGACACGTCCCAAGTCAAGATGTTGGCAGGGCCCTTGCTCCCTCTCCAACCTGTGGGGAACCCTTCCCTGTCTTCTAGTTCCTGGTGGTTTGTGCCAGTCTTTGGTGTTTCTTGGCTTGTGGCTGTGGAATGCAAGCTCTGCCTTCATTGTCACATGGCATTCTCTTTACCTGTCTCTATTTTCACATGACTGCTTCTTATAAGGACATCAGTCATATGACCTCATCTTAACTCAAGACATCTACAATCACCCTATGGATAAATAAGATCCCATTCTGAGGTACTGGAGGTTAGGACTCCAACTTGTCTTTATTTGGAGATCACAATTCAACCCAGAACACGAAGTGAGCTCATTCACGGGGCCAAGACCAGAACACACAAAGGACTAGGAGTGAACATGAGCCATGTCCCTGGTGCTGACAGGAAGATGGAGGGAGAAGAAGCAGCAGGGGCACATGTACAGTTCTCACGTCACTGTCTGGGGAACTGTGTTGGGTTGGGGCCCCGTGGACACACTGTGCTACTGTCTGTGCCCCAGAGGAGGAGTTCCATGCTCTTACTGCTCTGCCCTTTCATAGGACAAGTCGGGAAGAAGCCTCAGAGGCTGGGAACACACAGACCATTTGAGTTCCAGGTAACCTTAACTTTGGAGGGAAGTGGAGGAGCCCACCTCATCCTGTGGAAAGTTGCACCCTTTTGCCCTAGGAGAGGAGGAGCTACTGGGCCCAGCCAGCTCATTGCCAGGCTCTCAGAGAGAGAGAGTTCTAGATACCAGATATTGAACAACCTGCTTGTCTCTGAGCCTAGTGAAACCTGGACTTCATGCTGCAACTTTCTGCCTCCCCAGTTTGAGATCCTTTAGTGCAAAAGTTGCAAACCAGAGGCCCACAGGCCACTTGCAGCCCGTAGATGTGTTTTGGCTACAGTGGCTAGTGTCAGATGTTTTTATATTATTTTTTGAATAATCAGTATATTTACATAGTTCAAAAATCAAATCATTATAGAAAGATATCTAGTGAAAGCTTATCTTGGCCCCCACCTGCCTGTCCAGCACCCTCCCCTGTTACCAATTCTATTACTTTCTTACACATTCTTCTAGAGTTTCTTATTGCAAATACAAGTCAGTACAAATCACATTCTGCCTCCATTACTTTCTTTCTCACATAATTGTAGTCCACTACATGCTTTTTCTACCTTGCTTTTATCACTTATCTTGGCACTCTTTCCCTATCAATACATTGAGAGCTTTCTCAACTCTTTTTTTACAGGGATGTATAGATTGTGTGGATGCACAATGTATCACTTATTTAACCAAAATCCTTCTGATGGACACAGGTTGTTTTCAGCCATTCGCTGTTTATTACAAGCAAAGCTGCAGTGACTAAAACTGCCACTTTGTACTATGCTTGAACATGTTTAACATTTAAAAATTCTGAAATATCTTTGAATTATCAAAAAGACTGGAAACACGAAATTCTAATAACTGTAGGTTGACCACTGTTTGGATTGTTAGCTGTTTCTCAGGGTCCCTAACACTGGGTCCGGCCTGCTCTTATTCGGCATGTTCCCCACCTCCTCTTCCTCCCTCTTTGCTTTGAGGCTGAGTGTTGACTGCATTGAGCACCTTGATTGCTTGTGCTCTTTTTCTTATGGTAGATTCAGAAGGAAGGGAAATAGCTCTTGTACCCATGCTCTTTCTACATTCTTTCAAGCAGAAAATGAAAGCTAGGGAGGCTGTCTTTTTCAAGAAGAAAAGGAGAAGACAGATTCCTTTGTGGATGTAATTCTGCTTCTTCTTATGTTCACCTGTGTTACTCGTTTGGGCACTTGATTGTGCAGCCCGGCCTTGTTATGTCCACGCTTTTCTCTCACCTCTGAGCAGAAGGGAAGGACTCTGCTCGCTGGTTGATTTAGCACTGCCAGAGCAGCTGCTTGGAGACCAGCAATGACGATGAACAAGACAGTCAAATGCATCATTCTAACACATGTACTCTCTCACCAGAACCCCACGAGGATGGGGGCGTAATATTCCTGTTTCCATTTCATAGACAAGGAAACAGTAATAGAGTGAAGTCGCTTGACTATGATTCATAACTTGTACATGGCAGAACTAGTATCTTTTTTAAAAAACATATTTTTATTGATTTTCAGAGAGTAAGGGAGAGGGAGAGAGAGATAGAATCAATGAATGAGAGAGAATCATTGATTGGCTGCCTCCTGCACACCCCCTACTGGGGATCGAGCCCGCAACCCGGGCATGTGCCCTTGACCAGAATCGAACCCGGGACCCTTCAGTCGGCAGACAGACGTTCTATCCACTGAGCAAAACCAGTTAGGGCGGAACTAGTATCTGAAACCAAGAACTCCTGGCTCTAGAACCTGCTGTTTTAGCCAATATATTATGCTGCCTCAAACTCTTTTTTTTTTTTTTTAAGGTTGTGGCTAACAGTTATATTTTTCGCCTTTTCAGTTTGTCGTCAGTGGTGGCGTGATGATGACAGTCATGACAAAGATAAGAGGAAACTCTGAAAGTAGGCGAGAGGTGACATGCTGCAGGAAGGCAAATAATGAGAAAGCATTGTTGTTCTAACAGAGGCCAGGCTCAGCCTCTACAGTCTGTCACACTGGATAGAGTAGAATCGGCTCCGTTGCCCACTTTGCTCTTTCAATGTCCGAACATTTATAGAGCAACTTCTGAATGCAAGGCACCGTGCCAGGTGGGAGATACGATGAATGGGCCACACCCTGGTCCTCAGAGCTAGGACATGTCAGCAGACACTGCAGTGCCACCTGATGAGTGTGGCATTGGAGTGACATGGATGTGTCAGGCCGGGTCCTGAATGTGAGAAAGGAAATAAATTCACTGGGGTAACAAGGTGGGTAGCTTGTAGTTGTCTCAGGTCTTCATCTCTGCTGGATGGAGGAAGGAAGCAAGGCCCGGAAGTGGAGGCTGTGAGCTAAGGGGTTGAGCCATCTTTCTGACCACAGGCCAGGGTGAAGGTGACAACGGCTGCACCTCTGGAGCTGTGGGCTCTTTGGCAAAGGCCTCAGTCAGGGCTGGAGGTGGGCTGAAGGAAACGGCCTCTCCCCTTTCCTGCATGCCATCTCAGCTTTTCTCATTCCTGGGCCTGGGTTTAATGTCCGAGCTGGGCTGCCTCCCGTGGAGCACTTACCCTGGGAGTTAGTATTCTGCTGGAGGGTGAACCCCTGTCCCCGGGTGAAGGACTAAATTTGCCAGGGAAGAGAGAGGGGCGGGGGGCAGGAGGACACAGTTCACAGGTCACCATATTTGACCTTTGACATCACACTTCAGCATAAGGATCATAGGCCGGGCTTCCTGTAACAGGGAGGGAGGCTCCTTGCTTGTCTTTTTATTTGCTGCCTTTCTTCTTTCTTCTCCCCCAGGCTTGCATCCACAGCATCTATCATCTCTGTGGTTATCGTAGAACAACTGGGGGTTTTGCTTTGTACTTATTCTTTCTCTGAGTGCGACACTAACCACAGCCGCCTCCAGGCACAGGGTGTAGGGCAAGGCCAGCTGCTCTTCATTCAGATGCTGTGGTCTTTGGTGCAGCTGATGCTAGTGGTGAAGTTATACAAAACAAAGGTGTTGAAACTCAGTCCAAGTGACTGTTGGGGACCTGCTGCTTGTGCTTCTAGGGATGAGTAACGGAAACTCATTTTTTTCTGGTTGAAAAGGAGAATTCAGAGTCCTGATGGAACAGACAACAGGCATTGCAGGGCACAGCCGTGCGCTTCTCTGTGCTGGCATCTTTGTGGACATGCAAGAGACGCACACACACTCTGTCCTCAGGGACCTATTAACAAGAAGAGGAGAAAAATGTACATTGACCTCCCCTCTTGGGCCCGCTTCCTCATTTGAGAAATGAAAGAGGTTGGGCTTTACCAGTGTTCCTCCCGGGGTCAGGGCTGCCCCGAGGGCAGTGCTTCACAAACGCTCCGTGTGCACATGGACCACTGGGGGTCTTGCTAACATGCACATTCCAGCCCAGGAGGTCTGTCCAAGGCTTTCGATTCTGCACGTCCAATAGACTCCAGGTACTGAGGCTGGTGCAAGGCTCCCAGAGCTTTGAGTACTGCGGCTCTGGGGGCACTTGGGAAATCTGTGGGTGGCTTCGAGTTGCCACAACAACAGGGTGAAGCCCCTGGCATTGCTGGATGGGGGCGAGGCATGCTAGTCATGATTCTGTGTGGGAATGTCATTAGTGAATTGTCACCCAGTCTGCCAAACTCAGCCCACTGCACATATAATTGGTAATTACTTCTCATATAGTAATACTGAGAAGTTTTTATAGAAGTTATGCCAAAAGCCCAGTAATCTAGGAGACCATTGTTCTGGG